AAGTTACCCCTCTCCCCCCCCTCCTCTCCCCCCCTCCTCTCTCCCCCCTCCTCTCCCCCCCTCCTCTCCCCCCCCTCCTCTCCCCCCCTCCTCTCCCCCCCCTTTTCGAGTCCCAAGCGTTGCTTCGAGTCGAGTCCAGATCGATCCTCGGCCCGGGCCAGGCTCTGGGAAATGTCCAGCACCAGGCCATCCAGCGCCGCGCCCAAGGGCTCCAGGAACCTCGAAAAACGCCCACCATCGCGGGGAACATTTTTTTAACGACGGCCAGGCCCCAAGCAGGGGCTCTCTGGTGTTGAGGGTATAATGTTTTTTCTTGCAGTTCTAAAGGGACACACCCTTGCCATGTCTTCGTAATGTGGTTGTTCATGTATGTTCTTTTATGTTTCTTGTTTTTTGGGGGGGGTCCCCAAAACAAGACACAAACAGGGGAACTGAAAACCCAGTTGAACATCCAAAAGGTAGTTGGGTGTTTTGTGCCTAGGCTTGGTTTCAAAAGAAACTTAAGGGAAACCGCTGATATAGCTATTTCCTGTGGGGTGGTCCCCTCTCCAACCACAGTGTGGATGGGACAACACCCTGCGCCATTTCTAGGCGGCCTGTTCCCATTCATTGGCTGAGATGGATGAAACTCTACCAGCTGGGGCAGGAGTTCGTCAATCCACAGTATGTTCACCCATGTTCATGGGGTCTGAGCTCTGTTTGGTTGGGTGATGCACATTGGGACGTATGCCAAAAGCAACCCTCCTGGGTTGCTTATGGGTTCATACCCCAGGCAACTAGGAGGGGTGCTTAGTTGAACACAAATGGGTGTGTCTGTATTGGAAAACATGTGTTTGGTTGGTTTTAAAGGGAACCCAACATACAGTCATTTTGGTTTGCCCTATTTGACGCATACTCATATATGAATGCATTAACCTATGGTCGAACCTCTTGCCGTCTGTACTTCGGCCTTGACTAGGCCTGATGAATAAATCATGGTCACAAAACGCATTCTGGGCCGCCTGACTTCCTAGCGGTGATTTGGTGAGTGTCAAACAACCCCCATTCAAACTACTGTCTTACTAGTCGTTCTTCTTGCAACACCGTACCATGAATGAATTAAGCTGGTGCAACTCGCCATTCAACTATGTCTTAACTTTGGGAAGCCAAAGCCCCCCCCCAAAGCTGCTTCTGGAATTCACCATTCTCATGGCCTAGATGCCTTCCGTTGGTGACCAGCGGCCTACAAAGCTTCTTGCTTGGCTTCTCGGGATGTCCGAGACAACTGATACAACCCAGCGAGGCATACGTGTGGTCAAAAACATTCTACTTGTTGGTGGGAATGGCCACGGACCCCGAGAGACCATGGGCTGCGTAGCTACGCCCCCCCCTGCTCCTTACATCCAAAAAATGCGTGGGGAGCCCTTACCGCCAAAGAACCGAGGGATTAGATTGCCTGGGTAACCCAAATCCATCCCCGACAAAATGATGCACGCGTTAGATGGGCTTGTCTCAAAGGAGGGAACCGCAAACAACCAACGCTGGCTTCGGAAAACAGAACAAACCCATGTTTGTAAACTACGATACTTCCTGACTTTGGTCCAATCCCAGTAAATCTTTAGATGCTAAACAACAAATGTGCTTGTTGCTGTGAACTAGTTTTTCTAAATAGGATAACCCCCAAAATCTCGGGGTTTCCTTTTGGCTTCCCTTTGGGCCCAAGCTGCCCTCACGCGCGCCTGGCGGTCCCAGAGCGGTGCTCGAACTTCAGGCGGTCGATACTTCGGTCCTGGCAGGCCATCAGCTGGGCGCACCTCGTGCCTTTTTGAGCATCTCGCTGAAGGACCTGGAAACAAAAGGGCGATCACATTTTTTGGGGACCTGAAACGTAGACAAAGCAAGGTGAAAAGAGGTCGGCTTTGGGCAAGTGAGCTATGCAAGGCGCGCGACAATGTGCAAGGATCGCGCGAGGCGGTTAGCTCGAAATCTTGCGGTCAATTTGAGATCGAAAGTGTGCCGAGCCGTTGGGATTCGAGGTAAATGTTTGCCGTGGGGGTTTGCCTGGCTCATGCACAGCTCTTTGTACGTACCCCCAACCTCCCCCACCCTCTCCCCGTCCCCCCGAACCTCCACCTCGCACCCCCCCACCATTCCTTTCCCACCACTTCCCCCACCTCACCTCGCTATGCAAGCTTCCCCTCCCCCACCTTCCTCTCCCCACTTCCTCCCACTCCCCGCCAGCTCCCCCACTTCCGCCTGCGGTGCAGCCGCCTCCTCCGGCGCAGCAAACAGTGCCCCCACGGCACACAGCGCGTCGCACAGCGGCTCCGCGGCCTCCTCCACCCCCACCTCAGCTGGGCGTGCGAGAAAGAGAGAGTCCCTCTCAACACAAGACTCACCGCCGGGGAAGGCCGCACAAAAATCCCCCCCCCACCCCCCACCAAACCGAAATGGAAGGCTCCGCAAAAAACAAAAGAGGCGGAGCCATTGTTCAGGCGCCATGGTTCAGCAAACTGCGAGCAAAGCTGCAGAGAAAGCCCAACAACCAAGGGAGGCTCCCAATAATAATAGCTCGGCAGCTGCAGCCACAGAACTTGGAACCACAAAATGCAAAGCAAAAACACGAAAAAGTGCATGTGGATGTCGTGTAGCTTCTGGGTTCAATCAAACGTACGGCTCGCCGGGTTGCAAGATGGCAAAGGAGATTGATCCAAACCCACCCAACACGTGCCACATAGTGAGTGCCACAGAATTCCTTGAGGATCTTTTCCTGCATGGGACCCAGCACAAGCTGCCTTTTTCGACAGTGACGCTGTGAGGCCTCTTTTCGGGCTTTTTGACTACCGGCTCTCTTTGGAAATCCTGGCATTTCACTTCAACTAAAATCCTGGCTAGCCGTGCCGGCTGAAGGACACTGTGCTAGCTGTCAGGTTGAACATGGTGTAGTAGTGCGCCCAAAGAGGCAGGCCAAGTACCATCAATGGATCCCAGAAGGCAACCGGGGAACTCAGTGTCCCCACCAGGCCCTGAGATAGCCACAGCCCTAAATCGAAGTCCAAAACGACTTCTCCAGTCACACCTTGCAAGTGAATCTCTAACTTTGAGGACTCGCTCAGAGAATCCAGGGAGACCCCTGCTGGCAACAAGAACGATGGAGTGCCGGTGTCTATTATGCATGCCCGAGCATGTTTGGTGCAGTCCACCCCTTGGTACTCAGTGTCACCAATGAGGATCCTCAAAACGTTCACGTTGTACCATCCGGATGCTCCGGGTCCAGAATCTAACAACATCACCTCCGGTGCCAAAGAGTCATAGTTCTGCGTTTCGACGGCTGCTGGGCCCAAATACATGTTCCCACTCGCGCCCCCGGACCAATAGATTCCAAAGATCTCTGATCCGTCAGAGGTCCGGCGCAACTCCTGCATCAAAGGTGGCACCAAAGATGCAGTGGTGGTTGGGCACAGCACCTCAATAGCGCTGCTGGCCCTCACGCACGCACCGGAGAGGTTAGTTGTGGAAGGAAACATCTTACTTCGCTGGCGATATGCCACACCGAAAATGCCCTGGCTGGGATGATCTGTACAAAGCCACGGCGCGCAGGATCCCTCGCCAAACACGGCAAACCTGGCCTTCGGAATTCGCAGCCCCGGAGCGCCCCGGATCGTCAGCTGCCCCTGAAAGAAAGGCCCGACGTAGCCTTCCATTGGTTAAGACCCCTGGAAAAAAGTAAAAATATTTCCAGTAGTGATAAACTCCTTTGAAAACCAACAAGGGAAAACAAAAATATTCTTAAGCAAATGGAAGTAGCCATCCTGGAAGTGGCCATCAGTGGAAGGACCATACTGCTCGCATGCATTGAAGCGGGTCTTTTTGCAGCCCGGCAGCTTCTCTGGCAGGCTCACATTGCAAAATGCCACGGTGGAGGACCCTGTGTCTAGAAGCATCCGTTGTGCGGGCAGCGTGCCGATTTGCACATGAAGAAGAAGTCGGCGGGAGGAATACTCCAACTCAAGGATGTGGGCGTTCGGAGGGGCTCTGCCTTGAAGCATTGACAGCGCATCGCCACATTCCACCGCAGAAGAGGTGGCTCTTCCCAGCGCAGCCACAAGCCATGAAAAGCTGAGCAGGCTCATTTCTAGCTCCAATCAAAAAGGTCAAAGCGTCACAGAAAAAATACAGGTATTATATAATTTCACTTATCTGATCCTATCTTGCCTTGTGTGGACGCCTTCACTCCATGAGCATGTGCGAAAGCGAGCCCTCGGCACTTCAAGTCTGATGGCCAGGTTCGGCTCTACCCCCCGAGTCAACTATCGTAGTGACATATTATACCAAGGGCTGGAAGTGAATGTCCAACAAAGTTGAATCATGATCATTCTGAATGGTGTCCTTTTGTCAAAACGGATTCCGGGGCTACCGCAGGCCTTCCAGTGTTTGCTGGATTGCTCTCAGCGGCTGCAAACAACAGAAATGGGGAATTCCCCGTTTTGGGCACCTTGGTATGAGCAAAAGGCCTCGCAAGCTCAATTCTTTCTAGGTTCATGGAAAAGTAAAATTTGTTTCCAAGCGGTCCTTTTCAGGCCATCCGTTCAAAGACCAGTGATGTTTATGGAACTATGGCCGTCTCCCACAAAATAGGCGACCGGTGGGTTTCCCCTGGTTTCCGGTGAATGCAACTCCAAGAAGGGCAAGAAACCACGACAGACCAAAAAGCGTGAAGAAGAAGCGAGCGCCTCCTCCGCCAGCTCTACGCAGAGGAGGCCCACTTCGGAGATGCCCTCACCGCGAGATCAACGGATCTTGGGTGGCGGGTTGACCTCTAAACACGTGTGCGGGAAAGCCCCGGGTGGGGGGGCCGGGCAGAGGGGGGGGAGGGGGGGTTGGCAAGCGGATTGCCTGATCATCTGATCTTGGGTGCGGGTTGACCTCTTGGGGTAAGCTCAAAAAGCCCAAAAGCTCGCGAAGACGTTTTAGGACATGAAGAAACTTGGGCAACCTGGGCCCCTGCCCCTTCATATAAAACGCTGCGATTGGCACCTGGCAGGGGTATGACGGCCGAAAACCCGCCCTAGTCGAAATGACCGAAGCCAGAAGCAGAACCTTTAACTACATCGGCGTGCTACGAGATGTTCGGCACTGCCGCTTTAGCTGCATCGGCACTGCTCAGCAGCGGGAGCAAGAACATCCTCATGGGGATTCCGGAGCCCCTTCAGCCTAGTGGTTCGGATTAGTGGTTTGGAGGTGCTCCGGAAATGGCGTCCCATTTACCCTCACAAAACTTCCGTTTGCGTCGTCACCTGGGAAACCAACATATGTCCAGTAGTGATAGATTCCCTTTAAAACCAACAGGGGGAAATAAAACATATTCTTAAGCGAAAGGCTTCAACCCTCCAGTTGTCACCAATCCAAAGCACCGATTAGGGGTTACCTGACTAACCCCCTGCCATGTCAGCAAAGAACTGAGTGTCTTGCAGCCGCACACAACAACTTGAATCGAATCAAAAGGCCGAACTCAAAAAGGCAACAGGCCAAGAAGAGTGCAGTGTTGTTTTAAAACACATCACGTTGAGGAGGAGGATATTTACAGGGACTCCTCTAGCCATGAGACCAACTTGGAGCCCATTGTCTCATTGCCAACATGAGGCCAAAACTTGTGGGAAGACCCAAAGCTTCCACCCCACCTTTTTGTCAGGGCCCACCCCGAAATGGTGGTTTAAGGTCCAAACCAGTCGACAGGTTTCGGTCACACCAAACATCAACCCAGTTCGAGGCATCCTTCAAGACCGTCAAACCCAAACCAAACCCAAACCACACGCGCACACAGCACACACAGAGCGCACAGAGCACACAGAGTACACACCCACACCTCCCGCGGTTTTTCCGGGTCCCCCACTTCAAAACCTCGCTCGGAAAAATGCGATTCTTCGCCGCGCCTCCAGCAGCTGGCAGGCGGTGGCGGAACCTCGAACCAACACCAGCTCGCCGCTTGGGCCAACAACGGGGGGAGTAGGTGGCACCCATTGAACTGGAGCCAGGGCTACCACCACACAACTGGTGACGCGACCCGAGGAGGCAAATCGATGTTGCCATCCGCTTAGTCAAGGGCAAAGATTTGTACCTTGACCCCAATTCTCGGTGCTAGAGCCGCCGGAGTCCGAAGAAACCTTGAAACTACTCCATCCCCCCTTTTGACTTTGGGTCCAAAAATATTTAAACAAAAGTTGCATGTTTGATAACAATAGCAAAGCGCATGGGCCATGTTCAACCCCAAACAAGACTTGCTGGTGCTCAGTAGGCAATGGGGGAATGAACACAACATTCCCCTTGAAGGAAACCACCAGTTGGATGGTTTATAGTTCCAGGCTATTCCATTTCTCACCCGACACCGCAGGGAACAAAAGACCCCGCCCCTCGCTTCGAGCGTCCGGAGCCCAAGCGCTCCAGCGCCATCTCCGCCGCGCCCCGCAGGCGCGCAAGCTCCGCGCGCCTCGGAAAAGGCCCCATCGGAAAAATGAGAAAACCTGTGGGTGGGTCAAAATGAAACCACCAGGAGATGGACCGCAGGTGTTGGTCCATGTTGCCACCAGGGCAACCCATTTTGGGGTTACCCAATTTTTGGCCCACAGCCATGTCCAGTCCTGAAATCGACTCCAACTCTCAGACCAACAAGGGAAAACGAACAGATACTAATTTCGGCAAATGGAAGATACCCAAGAAACACGATCAAAAAGGGTGGTGCCGAATCAGTGGTTTGGTGGCAAAATGGAGGGGTTTCCCGTGTACCCTCGGAAGCAACTAGGTTCAAATCCCAAACCAATCCAGACCACCAACGAAGGGTTACCTGAATGTTGGTTGCTTGGAAGCCGGTGGCTTCTTTTCACACCAGTGACCGAGCCAGTTTGCCCGAAACACTCCCCCTGCCTGCTTTCGGAGTTAAAGCCAAAAGGTCCTTGAGGCAAGTGGCTTAAGCATGCTGCACCTCTCGGGGTTGGATCCCCGAAATTGTGAGTCATACCGGATCCAGAAGTGCGCAACCGACAGAAAAAAGAGCCGGCTGAGTTGGGAACCGAATATGTCTATTTGAGGAAAGGATCCATGTTGTACAGCGCTCAAAATTTGCAGGTGACCTGAGAAGAAAACCCAAGCTAGCCCACTCTTGAAATCGTGACCCGAAAGCTTGATGGGCTGATGGGCTTTATTACCCTTGATATCCTCTGACACTGGACTCTTGCAGTTGGCTGGCAGCTCATTTAGGAAACGCAGCCTCTTGCAAATGAATCTACGATGATCGTCCTTTGTCTACACTGTTCTCATCCGCTGTCAACGAAACATCTGTGCTCCCCCATCCGCCAAAACAGAACCACTTGTCTCATCATGTGCAATTCTGTTGAAAACTGTTTCTTCCCTGTCTTTTCACAGGATCAAAATCCCCACCCCCTCCCCGTGCTGCCCAAAACAAAACCTTAGCGAGACCCCAATAAGACTTGATAAGGAGGGGTTGGGGGGGGGGTGGCCGTTTGGACCCATGATCTTTCTGAAAGGAAATCCCTCCCAGTGCATCCAGCTGCCGCTACGCCAGCGTGCGCCACCTCTAAGTTGTTGATCAAATATCTTGATTTCCCCTCACCTGGTACAAATGAAACTGGAGGTGTCAAAATAGAATGACCTCAACAAGCTGCAGGTGTGCCTGACTTTCAACGAGCCTGGTGGCCCCAAGCCCAGGGCTTCTTCCACCGAGTCGCTCATCACACCGCAAGAGCCGCCGCAAGGCCCCCTCCGCCACCAGACGCCGGCCCATGGCCCATGAGTCGCAAAACGCTCAGAGCTGAGAACCTGACAAGTCAAGACTTGCTGGAGGTGTCCTCGTAGAGGAAATAGATGGCCCTGGTGGATAAAACCACCCGGTAAACCAGGACTTGCCATCTGTTTGTTTCTGCCGAAACAACCAAAAAGGACACCTATGCTTGCTGGTGCGATAGGGAATGACCTAGTCCGGGTGTTGGGAATGAGAACCGTTTGGGGATTCCCTGAGAGGAAACCAGAGGGGAGGGTTTTCGGGGTCATTCCAACTCATTCCCTGCTGAGAACCAGCCAGAAATCTCAAGGTCTCCAAGTGGCTTTGTGACGTTTCTTGAGGGTACGTGAGTTGACCCCTACGTCCCACGTACGCAAGCTCGCCCGAAAAGAATGCGCAGAGGGTCACTCTAACACAGATTGCGCCCCTGATCAGTCAGCTCCTTCATCAGCCCCATCAGTGTTGCTTTTCGCGAGGCCCGGCAAAAGCCCAAGGGTCAAGGGCCAAGGGCCCTAGGTGTGGCGTTGTTTGGCGTATGTTTGCAGAACCCGGCAAGAGGAGCAACACCCGGCCCTTTGAAGGGAAAAGCCGAGGATGGGTTGCTTCAAGGGAACCCTGCCTACATGCGGAACTCCTTGTCAAAGGGGTCGAGATCTCTTGTGGGATTGCTTCTTTTGTGTGTGGTGCTTTATCAAAGGAGCATGTGTTACAAAGGACGCTCCCAAAGCCAGCCGCGTTAAATAAGAACCCTCACCAAAAAGGCATACGGCTCAAAGGAGCTCTTTAAACGACGTAGATAGGTAAGGAACACTCTCCTTACAGGGCAGCACCCTGGGAAGCATACTTTTGCCATGAGAATGTCAACCATTGCGATCTAGGAAAGGGCTTGGTCCGCTGCGCCCTGACGGGCCTGACGGGCTGCACAAAGAGGATCGGCGCAAATGTTCATTGACCCAAAATGGTGGAGAATTCAGTGGGGGAGTCATGTCCAACAACCTTCGTCAGATGTAAAGAACCCTTCCGACCTGGTTGCACCCCTGCGCCTTTCAACTCGCTAGGCCAAAACCGCATGCCTTTTCACCAGCTTCGAGGGCCATGCTCGTATTGGGAGGCAACCTTCTCTGTGCTACCAAAGTACTTCCACATCTCCTAAACAAACCCCAAATCCCATCAACTTGTCGGTTCGTCCGACATCAGTTGCAAAGCTTTCCGCAGGCCTCACACATGTTCCTCCCCTCAAATAAGGAAACTACCAACTAGCAGCCTACCGAAATCTCGATTGAAATGCAATTTTCCGCCATAGGCCTAGCAGGAAACCACCACACATCAGGAACCCTCCTGGGTAGAGCTGGCATGGGCCAAACGTTTGGGGGGGCTTCCGAGCTTTCCCCCCCCCAAAGCTAAAGTGGTGAATCCTGGTGTGGTGGACCTGAACATGTTCCTTAAGCTCGAAATAGAGATCCCCGTTGCATATCAGTAAGCACCTACCGTTTTGGCACCCACGAAGAAATGATAATCAACCAACAAGGACCAAACAAGACCTGTACAAGCCAAGAGCAAAAATAGGCCACATTAATATTCGCCCATTCTGGTTTCGGACTCCCCGGTTCAACGGTGAAAACCGGGCCCCCGTTTTGTTCGCATAAATCCCCCGCAGACCCTCACGACCTGCGAGGAACCTGTACACAAACCCCTTTGGGTCCAATGGATTCGCTGCCAATCGCAGCACCTGAAAAGGCCGGCAAATCAGATCCACTGGCAGAGGGAAACCTGCCAATCGGCTATGCGATCTGTTTGTGGGAAAAGTCCATCCAAAGTCTGGCTCAAGTGCTTGAACGCCAGCCAGCCAAAGAGTCAAAGCGAACAGATCTGAGCGGAGCGCAAATCTGTGCGCTTGAAATGGACTCAAAAAGGTCCTCTCTGTGCCTAAAGCTGTCGACCAACTCATTCGGAGTACGCCGCACGGATAGATTTTGCGATGGTCTGCAGCTGAATATTGCTGGTACCCTCGTAAATGGTGCCAATCTTTGCGTCCCGGTAGTACTTCTCTGCCAGGAACCTTGCGCGACCAAAGAAGCCCAGTGAAGTCAAAATCAAAACCCAGTTTTCAAATGGTCTACCCAGAACCATGTAAAGAACTAAAAGGGCGGCTGCACCCATTTCTGGTTGGGACCGTCCCTTACTAACCTTCATCTACCCGAATCGGCTTTGACTGTGCCTCTGGTGGTATCCCCGGATCCAGTCCAACGCTCGACGCGGAACCATCGGACGTGCAAGCCCGTGCCCGGAACATCCGGGCAACCATTTTATCGCCAGAAACCTCCGGGACCCTGCCGAGCTCTGGACTCCGGAGGACCCAAAAGCGTTCAGCTCTTAGGGGAAAACCTCACGAGTTCTCTCTAACGCTGCGCGAGTCTCACGAACTTATCCTAGTTCACCAATTGGAAATTAAGGGCAAATCTCATTTTTGTTTTAAAAATAAGCTCAGGTAATATCCCCAACAGCATGCGGTGCTCTTTTTAGTGCTCGCACCGCTGGTGGAACCCTGATGGAACCCTCGTGGAACCTTACCTCAGGGCCGCCCCGGACCACCCCGGAGCCTGTCTGGGCTGAGACCCCAAAGCTTTCAGCTGTTGGGGAAAAAAAAGTCTTGCGGTTGCTGCAAGGAACTGCTGAAAACGAAACCCAAACTTCCTCCGTTGAGGTTCATGGGGTTCGGAGCAACCCGGCACATACCCTCAATCCCAACGGGAATCGCCTGCACCCTTCAAATGTATGGCTGCCGCAGCAAGAACACAACGCAAGGTGGCATCCCCAGCAACCAGAACCCTTCAGGAACCATGGCTCACCAGCTCACCACTGCGGCACTCGGACCCTGAACAAAAAATCAACAACCGCTCCACACCCCGGACCCCCTCCAGAACCCACCAGAACCCAACACCCTCAGCCGCTCCATGACGCCGGCAGCAGCAGCAAAACCTCCCCTCCCTTCATCACCCTCAGCTTGCATGGGAGGGTAGCCGCGGTTTGCCCATGACTGCCTTCGCTCGCAACTGTGGGCACTGGCCACGGAGCCCAAACAAAGCCTTCCCCGCGAAACCCTCCGGAACCCCGCCCAACTTAAGAAGGGCCGGGGTACTGAGTGTGAGGTTAGTAAGTTAGTAAGCCTGGTTACAACCCACAAAAGCCATGGGAAAAAAACAAGATGTCTCCGTTCGGTGGGTGCTATAACCAGGCGCCCCAAGCATTTCCGAGACGTACCCGACCCGAATCGATGGCCCGATCGCCGAAGAGCTCCTTGGTGAAGCCCACGCCCCCGAGCCAGTCGATGCACTGGGAGGACACGTCCTGCGCCACCTCGGAGGCCTCCGGACAGAGCCCGCGAGGGGAGCGGGGGCCCGGGGAGCGGGGAGGCGCTTTCTTCGCATCAACGCCAACCAAAAAAAGACCACGAGGGAGCCAAAGGGGGAAATCAGCTTCTACACATTGGCGGTGCGGTATGGGTTTGGAACCGATGGTGAAGAATCTGCTTGGGCCAAGTAGAACCTTCTCTGTGCTCTCTTGCCCCCTGGGCCCAGCTTGAGTCACGTCAATGGCTGTTGCAGCCAACAGAAGTGAATGTCATGTCCCACCAGCTTGGTTCTCGAAGTGACAGACGGCAAGCCTTGACCATGATTGATGGACGGCGGGCGAGACGTCCGGAACCCCGGAAAAAACAAACACTCCCAAACCACGACCACCAGACCAACCAAAACCAACAAATCCAAAAATCGCAAGCAAGCACACAAACAAACAAACAAACAAACGAACGAACAAACAAACAAACAAACAAACAAACAAACAAACAAACAACCAAGCCAAGCCAAGCCAAGCCAAGCCAAGCCAAGCCAACAAACAAACAGGAAGGTAGGCAGGGAGGCAGGCAGGCAGGCAGGCAGGCAGGCAAATACAAAAAATAAACAAATACACAAACACACGATAACATAATACAGCTGTCTATATATATATATATAATATACAACAAACGACACACAAAACAAGTTTGCGCCCGCAGCCTTCTTGGCCCCGACCCGCCTTGAGCTTGGCCATGGCAGCCTCCTGGAGGAAGGGTTGGCCGCTCTCCTTGAGCCTTGCCGCGTTGAACCTGGGGTGAAGCCGGGTGGATGGGATGGCTCCTTTTCACATCCTGACCGAAGCTTCAAAGGAAGACACCCCATCAACATGCAACCAGGTGTGCTTTTCCAAGCTTCCGTCAACAGGGAGTGGAAGCAGTTAATCAAAGGGCGCTAGGCAGTTCTGAAGTTCTGAGCCACTTAATTTACCAGCATCAACAGTCACCTTGCGTTTTGGGGGAAACAACCTCACTTTCTCTTTAAGATACAGACCCGAAAAACGGTCAAAGACAAACAAAGTCACCCCTAAAGACGTGTGAGGAAGCCTCTCGAGAGGTCGGGAGCATGATCAGCGCTTGGACCCTTTCGTGGACATGGGGATTTGTACGCCCTTGCCTAAACATTTTGGTACAACAGCTGAAAGCTATGGGGTCTCTGCCCCGATGGCTCTGGGGTGGTGTGGGGCAGCTTTCTGGGAGGGTTCAAGATTCAAAAGAGGGTTCTGGGGGGGAGGCTGCGTTTGGACTCCATACCAGCTCAAAGAGATCAGTGTTGTCCCTTTGAGACTACCTGGTCGCGCATGGATTTGACCTCTACAAGCGGTAGCAGTCTCCGAAAAGCAGGTAAGAGATGCATGTCTGGAAAGCTGTGGTGGCTTACTTGGCCAAAATATGCACGACCCCCGGGCCCCAGCGGCTCTTTCTTGCTGGACAGAAGGTCTCTTGCCGGGGAGCACCAGCACCCGGGCGGCCTGGATCTCCATGGCGGCGCGCGCGTACTGGAACCTCAAAATCGCTCCAAAGCGCGCGCCCCGTCGTGGGGGGGGGTAAGGGGATTTGTTGGGTCGCCTGGATGTGTTTCCCATCCTTTCTTTTTGCCCCCCCCCCGGTTTTCGGAAGCAAGCATGGCTGAAGGGCAAAAGATCTTTCACCTGGTGCGTGTTTTGTTTTTCTTTTTTTCTCACAGGGATCAAAAGGAAAGCGAACGGAAGACCAAAGAGAGTGTTTTTTTGGACGGGTTGGACAACCTCTTCTGTAGGGTGCCCTTTTTCACCCTGGTTCAAAGGGAAACCAAAAGGAAGACCGGTGCGTTTTTGTTTGGGGGGGCCGAAGTTTGCGTTTTTGGTAGGGAGCCTCCCTTGAAATGGAGAATTCGTCATTTGGAAAGCCTATTTGTGCTTTTCGGGCCTGAAACAAGAAATCCCCGAGGGGACCTTGATCATGGTTGAGCTCTTTTACCCGAGCTCGATATTGTTTGCCCACAGGAACTGATCTGCGTAATGGAAGACATTGCAAGCAAAAAAACGAGTGGTCGCAATCGACTTCCTGTTCAGGAATCAACTCCAGGAGTCGGCGCAATCACTGTCCTGTTCTGCCCAAACAGGGAACCCCATACAACTCCACGAGCTGTTCAGGAGGAGACGACCATCCCACTCTCACGTAAGCAGCATCATCCAAGTCACATGCCTCAAGTCTTTGCCAACAATCCGACCACAAATCACATGCCCGGCCGGCCCAGCTTTTCTTTCGGACTCTTTGGACTGGTGAATGGAACTTCCCCATCTTTCGCCGCATCTACCTCTAGCCCAACAAAAGGCTCCTGCCCCCAGAAACATCTTGGCCTCGCGCCTCCTGCTGATTGAAATCCGAGCTGCTGCATCCCCTGAAAGTCAGCGATGCTCCGACCAAACTGCTTCCTGAAGCGCCAACGAGGCGGCCAGGCCGCTGGCGGTTAGAGAAGTCACAGCGGGGGAGTCAGCCTAACATGGAAACTCTCTCTCAAAACCCCTTGATAAAAAGGTGGCTCCATTTGTGCAGTCTGAGGGAAGGCAAATAAATTCAAGCAATGAACAAATCGGTCCGTTGATCAAACCACCGCACACCCAACACCACCCCACCCCCCACCCCACTCCACCTACTCCACCCCAGCCCCCGTCCCCCCAGCGCCCCCAGCCCGCCCTCCTGGTGACCATGTACCGCAGCGCGTAGTCGAAAGCCCCCTGTGCCAGTCCCACCATCTGGGCCCCGATACCGATGCGGCCCTCGTTCAGGAGCTCCATGGCGATCTTGTAGCCCTGCCCCACCTGCCGTTGAGGATTCGAAGGGGAGCCTGGAATCAACTTTGAGTTCGAGTCAAGGAATTGTCTGGCTGAACATCCAAAATTGCAACATTGGGTGGGATCAACTTTGGGTTCTCAAGGAATTCCTTGATGTTTTTGAAGGAACGAAACTTGGGATCTACAACCACAAAAAACCTAAAATGATACGACTCCGGAATCATGGAATGGGCATCCAAGAATTTGAGGAAACGAATGGCACATCAAACACTTGGGGAAGGGCTGCTTTCGAGGGCCACCAATGGGCGAAGATGCGTTGCTTCAGTGTGCGCCCAAACCGCTGCTTGCTGGTCAGCCTGGGCCCTGAGCAAGTGTCCAAATCACGGTCTGTCTGCTGCGCTGGCCAGCCCGGGCCGTGTCCAAATCAGCGCCTGCTGGCAAAAGAACTGCTTGCCGGGCCATGGACCACTACATAGTCACCACTGCCCTTTGTGATGACCGTGTTGGCTCGTGTTGGGAACGGTAGCGGCTTATACGTAAGCCGTTTCAGCAAGGAAAGTGCGGACGTCTGTTTGTCCCACCATTGAATCCAACATACATGAACGAGTGAATATTAACACCCTGGATGTTCGTAATCATTAAGGTGTGATATGCTCCACCTCACTATGGGTTGGGGGGATGACATCTTCCCTCCATTCGGCGCGCTCCACGCACCCCCATGATGTCTAAAGGCTTCCGCTACAGGAATTCGGTACAAGAGGACCAAACCCCTCCATTCCCTTAAGCATCCACCCAGCTTTGACTGGTCAAACAAGTGTAATCCACCAAACAGGAGTTTCTGCAAAACTTGAAGACCCTCCCACCCACAAACATGGAACCTGACATAAAGGTGCAGGGACAATTTTGTTTTGAAAGGGTTCAGGTTGGTGGACAGGTTAGTAAAGTAATCGATGGACAGAGCACAGGGAAGCCAAGTGCAAAATCCTACCCAGAGGCCAGCACTATTTTGTCATCATCAAAGTCACCACCAAAGCAACAGTCTGAAGGGAAATAACCACAGTTACTGACTTTGACAACTACAAAAACAGTCAGAATAAAACTCAGCACAACTGTGGATGGGCGAAATCCAGAACTCGCGTTTAGAAACCCTGGTTTCTGATTCCATTCCCCAACGAACATAGCAACGAAGGCTGTGGGGACCGACAAGCAATGTAGGGCACATCCTTCTAACGTACCGAAACATTCAACGCACCACCGGTGCGTCCTTGTGTCCGTGTGAATTGGTTGGTGCAAAGTTGGGAGAATGGGCCCAGGATCCAATTGGGCCACTCCCCTCTGTCATGCACGGTCAGAACCAGGATTCAAGATTGTCTCAGAACACTGATCAAGGAATTTGCTGGCGCTGGAAAACGGTGTATTTAGCCAGTATGATGGCAGCGATGGACTTTTGGCAGACCATTTGAATCAGAAGCTGAAATAGCCACGTTCTTGGTCATGTTGCCATTTTAGCAGGATCGCTTCCTCGGAAATATTCTCGCTCTCGGATGCAAAGTCGAGGTTTACTAGCATCGCTTCCGCGGCGGAACCATCTGCTGCATAGACATCCTCTTCGCTTGACATTCCATTCTTCTTTCGGAAAATCTGCTCCGCTACCACAATTGAGGCTGGAAAGGAGGGGTTGAAGTGGTGCCCGTACATGTACCTCGCAGGTCCAGTAAATGGATCTATTCCAATGAAGAGTAAGTATGTAAGGAAGAGGTCGAGGACCCAATATGTAAGAAGGCAGTATTTGGTTTACTTGTAAACCAAGTATGATCCATACCACAAATCCACAAGTGTGAAGCACCTGAGCCAAATATATGGCAGCCGGGATTGCAGGGGAGATAGCAAAAGGAAGAGGTTCCACTTGAGCCAAAATGTTAGCCAAGTGGAACACTTAACAGGAGTTCAGACAACTGCATACCTACCGCTACACTTTAGCCCAGATTGTTTTTGTGGGGGGAGAGCTTTCTCACGGCTCCCGGGGCTCCCCCTGCCGGGCTCCCGAAGCCGCCTCTCCGAGGACGGCGGTTTTGGGCACGCGGCACTTCTCGAAGACCAGCTCGCAGGTGGAGGAGGCGCGGATGCCCAGCTTGTCCTCCTGGTCACTTTCTTCGGGCAGAGGATATGAGTTGAGTCCAGGGGAAGGCAACGATGTGCGTCCCAGAATGATTCCAAGAAAGGAAGGAAAGAAAAAGAGGAAAGAAGACGGAGGGGCGAGAAGAAAAGACGGAAAGAAGGAAAGAAGGAAAGAAGCAAAGAAGCAAAGAAGGAAAGAAGGAAAGAAGGAAAGAAGGAAAGAAGGAAAGAAGGAAAGAAGGAAAGAAGGAAAGAAGGAAAGAAGGAAAGAAGGAAAGAAGGAAAGAAGAAAAGAAGAAAAGAAGAAAAGAAGAAAAGAAGGAATGAAGGAAAGAAGGAAAGAAGGAAAGAAGGAAAGAAGGAAAGAAGGAAAGAAGGAAAGAAGGAAAGAAGGAAAGAAGGAAACAAGAAGAAGAAAGAAGGAAAGAAGGAAAGAAGGAAAGAAGGAAAGAAGGAAAGAAGGAAAGAAGGAAAGAAGGAAAGAAGGAAAGAAGGAAAGAAGGAAAGAAGGAAAGAAGGAAAGAAGGAAAGAAGGAAAGAAGGAAAGAAGGAAAGAAGGAAAGAAGGAAAGAAGGAAAGAAGAAAGAAGAAAAGAAGAAAGAAGGAAAGAAGGAAAGAAGGAAAGAAGGAAAGAAGGAAAGAAGGAAAGAAGGAAAGAAGGAAAGAAGGAAAGAAGGAAAGAAGGAAAGAAGGAAAGAAGAAAGAAGGAAAGAAGGAAAGAAGGAAAGAAGGAAAGAAGAAAGAAGGAAAGAAGGAAAGAAGGAAAGAAGGAAAGAAGGAAAGAAGGAAAGAAGGAAAGAAGGAAAGAAGGAAAGAAGGAAAGAAGGAAAGAAGGAAAGAAGGAAAGAAGGAAAGAAGGAAAGAAGGAAAGAAGGAAGGAAGGAAGGAAGGAAGGAAGGAAAGAAGGAAAGAAGGAAAGAAGAAAGAAGGAAAGAAGGAAAGAAGGAAAGAAGGAAAGAAGGAAAGAAGGAAAGAAGGAAAGAAGGAAAGAAGGAAAGAAGGAAAGAAGGAAAGAAGGAAAGAAGGAAAGAAGGAAAGAAGGAAAGAAGGAAAGAAGGAAAGAAGGAAAGAAGGAAATAAGGAAAGAAGGAAAGAAGGAAAGAAGGAAAGAAGGAAAGAAGGAAAGAAGAAGAAAAAGGAAAGCAGGAAAGAAGGAAAGAAGGAAAGAAGGAAAGAAGAAGAAAAAGGAAAGCAGGAAAGCAGGAAAGAAGGAAAGAAGGAAAGAAGGAAAGAAGGAAAGAAGGAAAGAAGGAAAGAAGGAAAGAAGGAAAGAAGGAAAGAAGGAAAGAAGGAAAGAAGGAAAGAAGAACAGCAGGAAAGCAGGAAAGAAGGAAAGCAGGAAAGCAGGAAAGAAGGAAAGGAAAGAAGGAAAGAAGGAAAGCAGGAAAGCAGGAAAGAAGGAAAGAAGGAAAGAAGGAAAGAAGGAAAGAAGGAAAGAAGGAAAGAAGGAAAGAAGGAAAGAAGGAAAGAAGGAAAGAAGGAAAGAAGGAAAGAAGGAAAGAAGGAAAGCAGGAAAGCAGGAAAGAAGGAAAGAAGGAAAGAAGGAAAGAAGGAAAGAAGGAAAGAAGGAAAGAAAGAAAGAAGGAAAGAAGGAAAGAAGGAAAGAAAGAAAGAAGGAAAGAAGGAAAGAAGGAAAGAAGGAAAGAAGGAAAGAAGGAAAGAAGGAAAGAAGGAAAGAAGGAAAGGAGGAAAGAAGGAAAGAAGGAAAGAAGGAAAGAAGGAAAGAAGGAAAGAAGGAAAGAAGGAAAGAAGGAAAGAAGGAAAGCAGGAAAGAAGGAAAGAAGGAAAGAAGGAAAGAAGGAAAGAAGGAAAGAAGGAAAGAAGGAAAGAAGGAAAGAAGCAACAAGAAGGAAAGAAGGAAAGAAGGAAAGAAGGAAAGAAGGAAAGAAGGAAAGAAGGAAAGAAGGATCTTGACATTGCAAAGGTCCGACGTTGTACATATGCCCAGTCGATCAATGGGTGTGTAGTGTCACTTCTCTGTCATACGTATGTCGTATTGTGCGGTTTGGGATCATTCCATGATTCCCTGAGCGGGGTTGCTGTTTGGGGAGTCTGGACCTAGCGCGTTTGGCACCAAAGACCAAAGACCAACGTTGCGCGCGCGCCATGAGTTCAACAACAACAACAACCCATGGACCGCCGAACATGAGGTGAGTGTCCTTTTGGCGGGGTTGGAAGTGTCGTTGGAAGCCTGCCTTGGCCATTCGTGGGGACTCTGAGTGGGCCGGCTTCTTCTCGAGCCCAAGAGGGGGGAAATGGTTGGGCCTGGGGTTCCTTCCATCAATCTGCAGGGGAATGCTACACGGTGACACCAAAAGCATCATGTTCCGATGCTGGCCCACATCTGGTCTACCCAACATGGAGTAGCTTAACCAGGAGCCGCCCTGAAACTTCTCATCTGCTCCTTCTTGCCAATCTGCAGCCCTGGGTTCCCCTTCTCCACCACAAAGGCCGTGATGCCTCAGAAAGCCAGGCTCAAAAAAACTGCCGCAGAAAATTTCCCCAGGACGTGGCCTTGTGTCAAAATCGGGGACCCAAGATTTTGGTTGCTCTCCTCTTGGCCCTGCGCGATTTTGAGAGGGGCTCTCGTGCCCTGGTTCTTAGTTTGGTGAGTTGCCCCTTCTCGCCCCTGCCAAATTAACTGAAGACCGAAGCAGACCTCCACCCTCCGTCCGCGCCCCCGCAACAGGGGAAATGTAAAGTTCAGGGCTCACTTGCAATGTGTTTTTGAAGGGCAAACCCATTCCACACGAAACAAAACATAAAGACCCCCCGCCCTATTGACCCGCAAAACAACACCCTCCGACTGGACCCCTGGACCCCTGGGACCCCGGCCACGGTGAGCCTTGGAGGGGTCCGCGTTGGCGAAGACTACGAAGGCCCCGGCCTCCAAGGAGTTGGAGATCCAGCACTTGCCCCCCTCGATGACCCAGTCGCTGCCGTCCTGGACCTGATCTCTCCGACCCATTCACATAGTGGTCCCCAAAAACAGACAGGCACCAAATGCCCAACGCAAAGGCCATACCTTGTGGACATGGTGTTGTTTTCGGAGGGCAGCCTTTTTCCCCTTTTGGGTTAGGAGGAGAGAATCATTTGTTGGATTTGGTCCCTGGGAACAACGAAAGGAAACAATGGCAAAAACGAGAATGGGAACACAGGATGAATAAACCAGTGATTCATGTTGACCCATTTTAGAGGCAGACATTCGCCTGTGTTCTTTTTCAGTTGTTTGGGGTGCGAAAGCGAACGTCCGCCCAATTGTCCACCAGGTTGATGGCATCTTGTCAGCTCACAAGACAAGAAGGCTCCTGGGCAAGAGGCGATCACCTTGCAAGTCCAAGAATGTGTTTCCAAAAGGTGTAAGGGGCGATTCGGTCCAGTCATGAATGGGGAATCAACCAAAACAGTAACTGCGCGAACCGCGCAACATGTTCACTTCAAGGCCCAGTTTGGGGGTCCGAATCGACGGCTTCCCCTTCAAAGGTGTCTGCTCCCCCGTTGGAACACACTGCTACCCCTCAAGAAACAAATCGCCCAAACAAGTCCCTTTAAAACGTCGCTCGAAAGTAAAGAGGTATTGTGGATGGACGACATCCTGCACCGCTTTGAATCCATGGGAAACCATTGTTTGCTGATATTTGCAGGGGCATCATCATTCCAGGGTTTCTTGGGTGGTGCAAGATTTCGTCCATCGACAGTACCAAGATCCCGAATTCCCCAAAGGGCGAAACACCGTGCTTCGCACCCCATCCCACTTTCCTCCCATGCTCCATGCTCACATCTCCGGATTTTGCCATACATGGCTTGCTTTTTGGTGCCCTTTTTATTGCCTTGTAGAATCGGTAACCAGGGGAAACCAATCGTAAAACCCAGAGATGGAACAAAAAGAACATGTCTCGGTTTAGGGTTGACTTGTTGGGGTTTAGGGCTGGCGAGCTGATTTGTGTTAGGCGCGCTGGTGCGGTGGTTTTGGGTTGCTGAGTGCAGGCTCCCTTCTGCACCCGTTGCCTCCCCCCAGCTTGGTTGCTGCAACGACCGACCCCTCTGCAAAACAAATCAACTTTGTGCGGGTCCAAATCGAAAACAAAAAATGATTTCAACCAAGAAGTTAACGTCTAAAGATCCGATACCCAAAAAACACAATCACCCGCGAAACCCAGCGAAACCCCGAGGATCCCGCCGCTTTGGTCTTCAAGGCAAAGGCGTCGGAGCCGCTGTTGGGCTCCGAGAGACAGAAGGCGCCCACGGTATCTGAGGATCGTTGGGGCGGTGGACATCGAAATTCGATAGGAGTCATGGCCAAAACACTGGCTTCGGAGGTTCTAACTCTTAAAAAATCGTATGGCCAAACACTTGTGCGGCGGTTCCAACTCTTAAGATTTATGTGGCCGACGAAAAAACAACACCCCTGCGAAACGCCGTGAAGAGAGGGATAATTGGATAGACCAAGTCCAAGTGGCAGGATGTTGTCCATCCAGAGAACTTGGATGTGCGGCCGAGATGGTAAGTAGTTAGCCACTTATAAGCCCATGACAACAAGGTTAGTCCCACTTAGCTCAGTGGACTTATGAGTGGGTAGTAACCTAGGACACCAACAGCTTGCTAGCTTGGCCCAACTCCCGAGCAGAGAATTGGAGGGACAAATTGGTATGTGGCGAAAGGGAGAATTGGTAGAAAGTTGGTAGCACTTTGGTACAAGAGAACAACATGTACACTAAATTTCCCCTAGTGGATGGCCCAAAAAGGGCCCAAACCTTATATTTACCACTAAAATGATCCAAAAAGAGAGACAAGTGTATGAGGTTCATGAACTCAGGAAGTGAGGATAGGGACCCTCCAGGTCTCCCAGGTCTTCCAGGTCTTCCCGGGTGCGCCACGGGCCTGTGGCCAGCCGTGGCAGGAACTCCTCTTGCAGCTCCTTGCTGGCGTAGCGCTTGAAAGCCTCAAGCTTTCCCGCGGAGGAGCCCAACTCCTCTCCCATACCCAGGTTGGAAAAGGGCGGATTCTTGAGCACCATCTGTACATATGCATATGTATAAACTTATATTTTCTGTTTTCATAGTGTGTATGGTAAACACATATATGTATATACACATGTAGATTGTAAATATTAGAAGTGCGCTCCCCATGGGTGCATGTTCTGAGAACCATAACTGCTGGTGGGAGGGGCCCCCTGTTCTCCCTGAGTTGTTGGCAAATAACCCACTTACACAGCTCCAGCTCCCCTGCAAGTTGGGTACAACTCCAGGTTGGTACAGTCGTTACAGTATCGCCCGAGACGAATGCTTGAGATCTGCGGATTTGACAAACAGCCAACCTCCACCAAGCCCCCTGGCGAAGCCAAACTCCTGCCCCAACATGTTCCCTGAAGAAAAGCACTAACAGGGGGCTATGAGGGGGGGGTTACCTTGTTCACCCCTGAATAAGGCCTTGTGAGGTTTCAGGCATTGACGCGCACAAAGATGCAAAGTCAAATTCAGAGTTCTTCGACCCACGAGACCAGCACCTTACATGGACCCTAATGGTGATGAGTTTGAACCCACCCACAAAAGGGAATCAGGTGACGTGTTACCGTCACAAACCCCTATCCTTGAAACCACCACGTGGCCCTGGTGGATTTCTTTCAGGTTTGCATTTGAACCCACCGAAAAAGAGTTGCTTTTGGATTGAAACCCCCTGGTGTCCAAATACGGGAACCCCAAGATGCTGGTCTTCCTTTTGCAAAACACACTCAGGAGAGTCATAATCAGCAAAACTGTGGCAGTCAAGGAGTCTACCGTCAACCCCAAAACCCATGATGATTAATCAGAAGGGCGGCTTTGTTGAAAGCTTTCCGCGGTGACTTGTGGCAAGATGGAAGTCCACTAGCAGCCTCGCACTCTCATGTTGGAAGCATTAATTGCACATCACCTCACTAGGAAAATAGTCGATGCGTTGCCCCTACAAAAAAAGGGTACCCTCAAAAACATGGACATCCAATTCTCTGCCCCAAGCGGTTGTGAGGAAGCCAACACTCCGAGGGGCTGTGACCAGCAAGGTGTTGTGGATGTCCTGGAGGAGTTGATCCGCAAGTGTAGCTCCAACGGAGCTGGGCTTGCATTTCTTGGGGGCCGGGGCTCTGGGTTTCCCGCAGTCCCCTTGGAGGCTTTGGAACCCATTGGAAAACGCGTTCTCCAAACTGGTCTGCGCCTGAAGACCCAGGGGGACCCCATAAAGACCCCGAAGTCGGCCCTTTTGCATATGACTTTTCCCTGCCACCGAACGTGGAGCATCCCAGGCCCTGAAAAGCGATCTTCCTCTAAAAGGGAGCTTCTGGGGGTTTCCACGTTAGTGAGCAAGAGGGTCGCTTGCATATGTTCAATGACAAATGGCCTATCCGCACTGCCGTCCTTCTAAAGCAACAAAAAAACATGTGGCAAGATGTGTCAAACCCAGGAACCCAGGATCGGATGCTTGCTGCTTCCTTCCTTTTTGAACCCATTCTGCACAGGTTCCCAACCGTCTCATGCACACATGGGAAGGAAACTAAATCGGGGAACAGCGGGCTTACCACCCTCAAAAATTGTCGGTGGGCTTGAATCCCAATACAACATGTCCACCAAAGGGTTCCTAATCCGAATTCATACCCAAATGAGGTTGGCTCTCCCTGCTGGAGGGTTTGACCGGGACATCGCAAGGAAACCATGTTCAGGGGTCCAAAGACTGTAAAAGCACTCACCAGAGGACCCAAAATGGCTTTCCCTTTCATGTCTCTTTCAAACCAACCCAAAGGTGATCCCCCCCAAGCAAAATCAAAAACTCAGTCCATTCAAGTGACGTCCTCAAAGTTAACCTCCAAAGTTGTGGCAACGTAGGGGGACCCTACACATGCCTGCTTTCCTTCTTCTCTTTCACACGAGACTGAAAAGAATACCGGCTCAAACAACCCCCCCCAGCAAAATGAAACCTCTTTGGGCCCAGGCATACCTCACCCCCATTTTCAGGCCACCACCACCCCCATAAAACCTCTTTGGGCCCCATACCTCGCCCACCGCCTCTCCCTTCCCTCTCCATCAGCGCCGACACGGCGGGATCCACCTTGGCCACCTGAAGCCCGGCGACGGCCGAGGCCCTGCCCTCGAGGACCGCTGAAGCGGAAACTTATCAAAGAATTCGAACAAAAAAAAGCTAAGATGATTGAAACCGCCATTTCGGGAGCCATGAGCCAAACGCCCCATGGAAGGTCCTGTTCTTTCTGTGCCTCCAGTTCAGCATTCATGGGTTGAACAGGTAGTTGGCTCACCGGCCCGGACGCTTAAACTTGTACAGGTTGGATGCCTCGAATTTGGGTGTCTTTGAGGATTTGCTTCCTCTTGGATTTTATCTTGGATTCCCTAGAAACCTTTCCATGATAGGTAACGAGGCAACCCTAACAAGGGCCCCCCATGAGTTTGGACGCGAATCATTTGAACATGAGAAAGACAGAAGCAAAGGGACGGGAAAGACCAAAAAAACAACCAAAAAACCACCACAAAAACAAACAAGAAATGCATGTTCGGCCTTCGTCTCGAATCCCGCAAGCTTTCGGTTCGGGGAACCCGAAACCCGCCGGAAACCCACCGGCACGCCACCGGCCAGGCGCCTCCTCGATGGCCAGGCAGGCGGCCGCGAAGCCCAGGCCCACGCCCCCGTGCTCCGCCGGGACCTGTCTGAGGCGTCTCCGGGGGGGAAAAACGGGAGACGAAAGGAGCGGGCTGGGCAAAGGAAACGAAGAAGCCCTCAGCAAGATGGGTACAAATTTTGATTGGGATTTTTTGGTGGACATCGTTTGGGTGGGGATTTGTGTCCACCAACCACTTTTCAGGGGGCTCCCCATTAAAATGGCAACATCATCACCCGACAAAGCAGGAATGGTCTCAACATAGGCATCGGAGCTGTAGATCAGCACGTTCATGAATTCACACCAACCATGGCAACACTCGGGATGAACCGAAGACCATGCCAAATAAACATACCCTCCCTCCCACTAACATGAGGGGGTCCCTTCAAACGGATTTCAATCTTCCAGGTACCTCCCCACAGGTGCCATGTTAGCTAGAGGAAGGGTCATCACCCCGGATTAAGAACCCCCCAAACAAATGTTGACCCGGGATTAAGAAACCCCTGTTTATTAACAGGGGGGTGTCCCTGGGTTTAGTGGGGATTTGTCACTTTTGGAGGCCCCAACCCTTGCTCAGTGTCCAGCTTGGGTGCTTCTGCATTTTTGCTCGAGGTTTGCTTGGTCTTTGGAGGTTCGTTGGATTTGTGGGGCCTTCTTTGCTTTGCCTTGGTTTCAACCGCGAAAAGGATACCAACTGAGACCCACCCAGCTAAAACGGACCGCCTGGCGGCCAACATGTCGGCCACAAAACGGGAAACAAGGGCCGCGATGCGTTCGGGAGAGAAAGAGCTGGTCCGCATGGCTTTCGACATCTGCCCAAAAGGCCTTCAAATATGTTTTTCTCCAAACAACCGGGGAGTCTTGTCTTGGGTGTGGCTCAAACTAAAACACTTGTGAGCCACAACTCCACGAAACTCCTCCTTTTGCCAAAACCACCTCTCGGCCCGGTGAAGGACACCTCCGTGCTTGCCTAAGCCTTCGGTTGACCTTTTGGGTTCCCTCAAATCCAACCTGAAAAGGAATTCCCCCCCAACCCAAAAACAACTTAAAAAAGGGCAAAGAAAAAACATAAATAAAACGAACAAGGGAACAAGAACGCCCAACACTCCCCCAGCATCCCAAGAGGAAACTCGGGAAAAGGCCCACCTTTCACCCCGAACATCCCCAACGTCTCCTCCCTCGAACTCCGAAGTTCGCCGACTCGCCGCTCCTCGATGCCCATGAGGCCCTGCTCGAAGAGGGCGTCCACCACCTCCTTGGGCATCGCCGCCTTGTGGTCCATCTCCTGCCATCCGCCGCGCGGCGCGCCACGCGCGACACCTTTCCCCCAACCCATCAAACAAAGTTTCCACTGCCCCCATGCAACTGCCCTGAGGGCAATCCCGTCATATGCCCAGTATGCTTCAGGGAATGTACCCCAATTCTCCCAGCTGGTTGCGGGGTTGATCTTAAATCCAACAAAGCCCTGGAAATTGGCTCAAAACAAATTTCAGACCCCGGGGGCAAAAAGGGGCAGGGAACAGAGTTGCTTTAAACCAAGCAGAGAGAAATGAGCCCCTTGATGAAACCACCGCAAGAGGACACATCCTCAAGTGGCAACCAGAAGATATTTTTCACATCACCCTGAAAACAACAACTACTTCTCAGCTAAGACTAAAAGAACAAACACACACACACACACACAGGACATGTCTCGGCCGTTTTCTGAAGAAAACCGACCCCCCGGCCGCCGCCGGTTCGTTCCATCCTGCACCTTGGGCGCCAGCACCTCCGCCGCGAAGCGCTGCGCGGAGTCGCGGAGCATCTCCTGCGGGTGTCCGAACGCGACCAAAAAGTCCGCGGGTGAGAGGGTTGAACTGGAAGGTTCCCGGGATTTGCCTTTCAGCCAAGAAAGGTGATGGAATTGATCCAAGTGGGGGAAAGAAAGGTGATGGAAGCGAAAGGAGAAGGGGAGAATCACGGAAGCCAGAAAAAAAAAGAGGAACCCCTGCAAAGTCGGTTGGCAATATAAGTCCAGGCACTTGTCAGGCCCTGAGCCACAGCTGAAACAACCTTGTGTGAGTAGGCCTCAAAAAGGAGGCGCTGGTTTCCAGAACTTTGGCCAACCCGCAGAATTGCGAGATTTCCTGTAAATTCACATTCAACCACATCTCACCAAAAAGAAGCTTTTTATGGCTTCCCGCAATTTCTATCTGGTTCAACCCACTATCTTAAGTCTGATCAAGGCAACATATTACGTGGGTTAAATGAACGGCTGGGAAGCGCCAAGTCATGGGGACACAAATCTGAGTCCATCCGACAACGCCAATCGCTCTCCTCGTCCTCCGACAACGCCGTGACCGCCGCGGCCTTGGTCAAAGAAAGGGGGGAGATCTTGGATCGGAAGCGGCACCCGCCCAAAGTCCTGGGGGTCCTTTTGGTTTCCACGCTAAAACCCACAGAACAGGGGGCACCCTCAAATCAAAGACACACCAAGATGATGGTTCCTTGTAGGACTTGGACCCAAGATGGTGGTGTTCCTTTTTGGTCTCCCCGCGAAAAGCCACCAAACAGGGGGGACCCTCAAATGTGTCACAATCAAAACCCGGTATTAAAACGATCTACCAAAACCAATGAACTACAGAGGCGGCCGCACCTTTTTGTGGTTGGGACTGTCCCTTGCTAACCTTCACTTGCCCGGGTTTTGACTATGGCTCAACTGAAGACACACCCAAATGAACCTGCGTCAACCTGAGCCGAGATAAAAGAAAAAGCCAAAAACCACGCGCCTGGCTGCAGGTTCGGAGCTGCGCCAAAGGCGCCCGCCTGACATTTCTGGTATTCTGGCGGGTTGAACCCGTGCCCAGTGAGTCCGCTTACCATGGTTTTAGTAACCAAGGGCTTGCCACCCGTGAAAAAACAACAACAAAAAAACGGAAAATGCTTGGTGACCTATTTGTGTGGCTTGTCTGGGATCCACTGGGATGCTCCAAGCTGCTGAAACAGCTTCCCTGATGAGAACCCTTGAGGGGAAAAAGCACGAAAGTGGAAGACAAGCACTTGTTTGCTTTCCATTTGCATGCAAGCGCACCACTCCCTTGAGATTGCAACGGGACCAAAAACCAGCGAGCTCAACGGCACGGCGCGGAGCTCGCTCCCACGGAAGCGCCCCACTCCCCACCGCGCATCGGCGAGTCGACCCCTCGGAAGCCACCCCAAGGCTCCAACGAAAGCCGCCCGCCTCAGCGGCAGCCGGCCTCGGACATGCGCTCGGGGGGGGGGCGTCCGCTGATCCGCTAAGGAGGGCTATGGGGAGGGGGGCTATCCCTGATTGACCGCCCTTGACAGGCCTTATGGCAAATCGGCCGCCGCTAGGGGTCAATTGATGTGTTGGCCTTTTAAGGGTTGGTTGTCTCTCTTTGTTTCTGGGTTGCTTTTTGAGCCTTCTTTTGCAATGACCCCATTGAGGGTAGTTTGAATCATCCATTGGGCAGCAGACAAGCCTATATGTCCCACCAAAATATTGCGCCATTCAAGGGAACCCCCAGCTTGAATGGCTACCCTTCAGGGAATTCATCGGGCAACTTTCTCCGAAAAAGGCAGCGAAACCCCACGGTGCTCCAAATATAGCGAAACCCTCCAGAAAGCAAGGACCAAACCTGGATAAATCAAGCTGTGGCGAGCCCAGATCTCAAGCCCGGAGCAAGGAAACAAAAACCCGGCGGTGGTGGGAGTCCCTGACCAACCTGGGTTTGGTGGATGGACACAGCGGTCCAACTCTCTGGGTTCGAAAAACATCCCCTGCAGGCCAGGCTTGTAGAAGCTGAGCCTCTGGTCGGAGCTTGGAGGTTTGATCCCGCGTTGGCGCGTCCCAGGCCAGAGGAATGAAAAACGGACCGCTCTAAGGACAGATCCATCCGTCCAAAAACGTCCCCTGGGGAAAGGTGCCATCTCTTAGCCCGAGCTGTTTCAACCAAAAGCTAAAGTCCGAAGATCCGTTCCCCTACCACCAATGAACTTGGAACCTAACAGGCGGTCCCTTTCAATGGAAGACGGTCCAAACCACGTCCGTTTCCATGTCAATTGGTGGGAGGGACCAAATCTCACCTGATTTGATCTGACACATGAGATCTGACCTGACATTAAAATCACCTTATGTTGATCTTGTGTTTCCGTTAAGATCTGATTCAACTTTCACCGCTCGAACTTCCAAAGCCCGAAGGCCCGGGGGAACTGAAGAGCGGCTGACGCTGCGAGTGAAGCCCAGCATGGTGCGGGAGTGCGGGGAAGCGTCCAGCGGGCTGCACAGAGACTTGGGACGAAGCGGAAAAACATGGGAAATATTCAAGGGAAATGAATCTATGAAAGGAACAAGGGAGTCCGAAAATCACGGGAAACGTGAAAGTCTGCTTTCGTTTTGTGCGTCCCCTCTTTTTGCTGCTGTTTTGGCGTCGCTTGACGAATGGAATGCATAGGAGCTGAATGCTGCGATGGAGCGAGCCAAAAATTTGCGAGTCCAGGCGGCTGAGTCTCAAACAGCTCAATCTTCCAGTCGATTTGCCAAACAACCAAATCTTATGGGGGGGGTGTTTCGGGGTCCAGGCAAACACGATAGGTTGCCTTCGAAACCAGCCAAACAGAACGCAAAGGTGGATCCCAACAGAACGCTTTTTACAGATCGCAACTCTGATTTCTTGGGGTTCAAAACAACCCAAAACGGGGTTGCCTCTCACCATGACCCACGCTTGGGACTGGTCTCTTTGCTGCCCTGTGGTAAACCAAAGCGAGCCCGGCCATTTCTGGTGGCAAGACTCAAAAATGACAGGCGCTACTGGTATCTTCCAGGTAGCTGGTTGCAACAATTCGCCCTCCAGGTTCCCTACATGTCCGACCCACAAAACATCCCAAAGGGGAGCTCACCTCCAATTGGCAACCAAAAGATGTTTTAAAGCACTCTTGCAAAAAAAATGCGCTCCCCTGACCCACGGATGCCTGACACTGGGCCCAGCCCGCTGAGGCTGGATCGTCCAGGACAAAGACTACCACGTTGGGGATGCCCAGGCTCCTGGAAGGTTTTTCCCGTTCGAAGAACGGCCAGTAACCCCCAAAGTGGGAAAGAAAGGATACCCAGGACACCTTCATGAACCCATGAGCCGCTGCGGTTCCTCATTTGGTGGCGAACCATTGCCAAGAAGATGGCTTTCTCTGGAGTTCCGTGGGTGGACAAAAACGCATGCAGAGAAAAATAGACCATCTTTTTCTGAGAATACCTTTCAAACGATCCCGAATGTTTCAACATGCGGAGACCAACCAATTGCAGACCTTCCCCTCCTGCCTCACACGCTGCGCGAAGGCTGGAATGTACCTCAGTGTGATCAAGGTTGCTGCCAGGACCCGATGTCCTTGAGGAACCCAAACAAAACCAAACCCATCTTCGGCTGGAGGTTGATCATCCTTTCGAGGCTAGCGTTGCTCACACCCCATCTCCGACTTCAGGACCCAATTCTCGCCGGGCTATGAAAACAAAGGCACCCCCAGAAGGTTCCAAGAAAGAGACACCTGGCGTTTCAAGGCCAATGTCTTGGCGTGGACCCTCGGGCGTAAGTGTGGATGCCCCGAGGAAACTGCCCGTCAGCGCGCTGAAATGGCTTTGGTGAGGTTGCAACCGCCGCCCGAAACAGGCGCGAGACTCCCCGAAGCCACCCTGAAACCGGGGGTGCTTCATTTGAGGCTTGGGCTTCTTGGTTACATGGGAAAAGAATCCGGGCCCAAGAAAAGGGCGGGACTTCAAATCTTTTGAGATTGTGCCAAACTAGGGATTTAGGTCGAGGCGCTTGGACATTTTCCCAAAGACCATGGTCACAAAGACTGGCACCTGGGCGCCAGGACATGGTAACCTCACTTCGGGTCAAGTCGATTGGCCGAACATGGACTTTGGTCTACAGCTGCAAAGACCAGAAACTTGGGGACTGAGCAACTAAACGTCCCAGCGAGCCAAGAATGTTGCGGTTTCGGGACTGGCCCGCTGTGCGGCGAAGCACACGAAAAAACGAATCACCCTGAAATAAGGGGCCTTTGCAGCGCCTATATCGAGGCTTTTCTGAGCGACATGACTGTTGGGACGCATAGATTTGCCTCGACTTGTGTGTGCGCTTTTGTTCCGAGGCACGCCCCAGAAAAAGCCTTGTCTGGCTTCTTTCGGGGCGAGCCAATTGGCAGAGAGATGAAGATGGCCATGTTGCCGCACGTCAACGAGCGCAAACTTCCAACCTGTAAACACCCAAAATCTAGGGGACACTTCCCCATTCTTTCCAGGGATCCTTCTTTTCAGAAAACCATCAGAACCCCAGGGGAAACAGCTGGTTTTTGAAAAGAACGATGGTAGACAAGAATGGGGAATCAACTCCTGGAAAAAAGCAGCGTTCAAAATTGGAGCTTAAGCGCAGGCTGGAAGCAAGAATCTGAGTCATAGGTCCAGTACGACCCAAGGCCAAGGGACTGCTTCCTGCTAGACTTCCACAGGAATTTATGGGGTGGTTCCCCAAATTTGGAACCTCTCTGGGTGGCATGTTGGTTTTGCGCTTGTTTTGGTGCCCGAGTGCTTTCCCTAAAAAGAAAGTGTTTTTTTTTAAGAAACCGGCTATGCCCTCTTCTCCCTTCCCAACTCAGAGTACCTTCGTATCGCTCAGCGTGGCCTTCCCTTGGGGGTGAGTGCGGAAAAAGGGAAGCCGCTTGGAGAGTTCTTTCAGGAGTCATAATCAAAACCCGGTATTAAAATGGACCACCCAGAACCATGAATTAAGAAGGCGGCCGCAGCTATTTCTGGTTGGGATTGTCCCTTACTAACCTTCATCTACCCGGATATGTATCAAAAACAAGACTCCAAAAAAGCACTTCAGCCTGAAACGGGTACACCAAACAAACAGATACTTCGCAAGCGTTGGTATGGTGGCAAAAAACTTTGTTTTGCAGCCTTACTAAAAGTGAACCGATTAAAACAAAAACAAAAACTTGCCAAGAACCGTGAAGGATAGTGACTGTGGGGCTCGGACCAAGACTTCCGGACCTTCCCGCTCCACTTGGCCGTCTGGCTGCACCATCCAGCGAGTCCAAGACCCTCGCCGCCTGCCCAAGGACCTCCGGGGGGGGGGGGGGGTACTGGGGCAGTATCGTTATGTTAAGAAATGATTCTGAAACCCGAACCCATTCTGGGTGAATTTTAATACTTCACCAGCCTGAAATAAGGTGGTTGGGGGGCCATTCCCCACATAAACCACCATTTGGGGTGAGGTCGTGAGAGGTCGTTATAATTCACCCAGACCCAATGGACTGTCTTTTGCTTCAAGGCCAAACACCCAACATCTTTGTTGTCTTGAGCCTATCTGGCCGCCCTCTTTGACTTGCAGGGCGGGCTGCCAAATCCAGCGCGCATCCACGGGCGCAGTGGGCGGGTCCCTGCACCTCCCTTCTGTGGCCCTGTACCCTCAAAACGAAGGCCCATTTTGCGATCCGCTGGTCTGAAAAAGCTTGGTTTCCTCAAAACCCGGCCAGGTGTCGATTTTTTTTTTTTTTTGGGGGGGGGGTTTGGTCTCCAGGTGAATCACAATCAAAGAGAGATTTGCGACTTGAAAGGCTTACGGCCTCCCCTCCTGCGCGGCGGCAAGTCGACACTCGGGCTCCCCCAGCAAGCACGTTAGCCCATCGTCCTGCTGTCATATGCCAGAGCCCCATTCGAAACGGGTCCGGCACGTTGGCCCCAAGGGAACCGAACGCTCGCGAAAGTCGGGACTCCCCAGCTTCAAGGGGCCAGCGCTTGAGACCAATACAGCCTCTAGGCCCATGCATGGAGAGGACTCAACTGCGGCGTCCCCGCCGCGCGCCCCACACCCGGCCAGCGGTGCGCAGATCGGCTGCAGAGGCTGTGGGAATTACCATCCTCACAGTTGCAAGATCCGTCTTGGGTAGGGCACAGAGAACCGGCGCTGCAAGAGAGGGAGAGGGAGGGAGCGAGGGAGGGAGAGAGAGAGAGTGCAAGCAAGCAAGCAAGCAAGCAAGCAAGCAAGCAAGCAAGCAAGCAAGCAAGCAAGCAAGCAAGCAAGCAAGCAAGCAAGCAAGCAAGCAAGCAAGCAAGCAAGCAAGCCAGCAAGCAAGCAAGCAAGCAAGCAAGCAAGAAAGAGAGAACAAAGTAAAGCAAGAAGACGCCTGCTGTGGTCCACCACCAACGCCCAACCAGTCAGAAGGGCACGCATCTTGACTCCCCTCTTTCCGCCGGCACATGCCCGACTTCTGGCCATCATAGCGGTCATTGACTGGCGCAAATGACCCTGGCCGCCATCAACCCACTCCACAGAGGGGTGGGGGGGGGGGCTTTGCAATGCGACTTCCCTCACTTCCTGAAGATTGGCTGAAAAAGCGAAAATTTGAGTTCATCACTGAAATGGCTTGCCCAAAAGTACAGAATCCAGCAACTCGGGAAGTGAGCTCCTCTTTTGAGCAAACAACGCGCCTGGCCCGGGGGGGGAAAAAAACTGCCTGCAGAGGAGTCGTCTTAGACGGGTGTTCCTCCAGAGGGGAAAAAAGACTGGCCGGGTTTCTTGTAGCTTCCCTTGAGATGTGGGATCCCTATTCTGAAACAACACATGGGACAAAAAGCCAGAGAACGACCTGTAAAAGGAATGCTCCCAGGGTCTCAGGGTGCCGCATTGCAAAATCGTGGGGAAGATCTGGCCCCCCCACCCCTCACACAAAAAATGTACAACTTTTTCTTACATGCTCCCCAGACCACAAAACAGCCAAGGAAACGGCCTTGGAGCCTCAACTCA